TAAAAATGTTGAGGCTTACGATATGATCGAGAGTCTCAAGAGCATGTTTCAGACACAGGCTAGGACCGAAAGGTTCAATGTCTGGCCATCCTTGATGGATTGCAAGCTGGAGGAAGGTGATCCATTGAGCCCACATGTGATCAAAATGATCGGATATGTGCAAGCTTTGGATCGTTTGGGTTTCCCGCTCTTGGATGAGCTGGCTACTGATGCAGTTCTGGGTTCTCTTCCGCCCAGCTATGGGACGTTCATCTCGAACTATCATATGCATGGCATGAAGCTCACTGAATTGCATGGGATGCTCAAAGTGGCAGAGCAGTATATTAAGAAAGGCACACATCAAGTGTTCAAGGTGCAGAAATCGGCTAAGTTCAAGAAGAGTTGGTCCAAGAAAAAGGCTAAGGCAAAGGGCACGGAGACGGTAACCTCCGCCGCTGCACCGAAGTCTGGATCGGACTCGAAGACCATTTGCTATCATTGCAAGGAGACCGGTCACTGGAATAGGAACTGTAGCAAGTGGCTTGCAGAGCATGGCAAGAACGTCGGAAATGCCTCTTCGGGCAAAGGTACACTTGTTGCATATGTTATAGACATTTACCTTGCTGACATACCTAGTAGCTCTTGGGTATTTGATGCCGGATCGGTTGTTCATATTTGCAACTCGATGTAGGGGCTGGTAAGAACTAGGCGTGTGGCACAAGGGGAGATTGACATCAGGGTCGGCAACAAAGCAAGAGTTGCTGCATTGGAGGTCGGCATGATGCAACTCCAGCTTCCTTCTGGATTTATTTGGGAATTGAATAACTGTTATTACATTCCTGCACTTAGTCGGAACATTATTTCTGCCTCATGCTTGATGAGTCAGGGTTATGAATTCAATTTAAAGGACAATGGTTGTTCGATTTATTTGAATGGTATGTTCCACGGCTATGCACCCATTGTTGATGGGCTGTTTATATTGAATCTAGAATAGGAATCGTTCTATAACGTGAATGTTAAGAGGCATAAGCCTAATGAGATAAATCCGACATACTTCTGGCATTGCCGGCTTGGACACATTAGTCTGAAACACATGAAGAAGCTCCATGATGATGGGCTCCTAGCTTCGTCCGACTTTGAGTCCTTCGAGACATGCGAATCATGCTTGCTAGGCAAGATGACTAAGTCTCCTTTCGCAAAGAGTTGCGAGAGGGCGTCCGAGCTATTGGAACTTATACATAGTGATGTGTGTGGTCCAATGAGCACAACTACCATAGGTGGCTATCAGTACTTCATGACATTTATCGACGACTTGAGTAGATATGGATATATCTATTTGATGAGGCACAAGTCGGAAACTTTTGAAAAGTTCAAAGAGTTTCAAAACGAGGTTGAGAATCAGCTCGCAAGACTATAAAATTTCTACAATCAGATCGTGGAGGTGAATACATGAGCCATGAGTTTGATGATCATCTGAAAAGCCGAGGTATAGTACCTCAGCTCACACCCCCGGGTATGCCATAGAGAAACGGCGGGTCGGAACAGAGGAATAGGACCTTGTTGGACATGGTCCGGTCAATGATGAGCAAATCGGATTTACCCTTGTCATTCTAGGGATACACTCTAGAAATTGAAGCTTTCACACTTAACAGGGTACAATCAAAATCCGTAGATAAGACACCACATGAGATGTGGACCGGGAAGAGTCCCTGTTTGTCTTTTCTAAAGATTTGGGGTTGTGAAGCATTTGTCAAGCGACTTATGTCAGACAAGCTTACACCCAAGTCGGATAAATGCATATTCGTGGGATATCCGAGGGAAACCTTGGGATATAGCTTCTACAACCGGGAAGAGAACAAAGTGTTTGTTGCTCGGAACGGGGTTTTCCTTGAGAAAGAGTTTCTCAGTCGGGAGGCCAGTGGGAGGGCGGTCCGATCGAAGAAATTCGAATACCACTTTGGGACAGCTCGGCGGGTGATAGCTGCAAATGGGTCTTTAAGAAGAAAACCGATGTGGATGGAAATGTTCAGATCCACAAAGCTCGGCTTGTCGCTAAAGGTTATGGACAAGTTCAAAGAATTGACTACGACGAGACTTACTCCCTAGTAGCGAAGCTGAAGTCGATGAGGATCGTACTAGCTATAGCTGCATATTTCGATTACGAGATATGGCAGATGGATGTCAAAACTGCTTTCCTTCATGGAAATTTAACCGAGGACGTGTATATGATATAGCCCGAGGGTTTTGTCGATCCGACTAGCACTAGTAAAGTATGCAAGCTCAAGAGATCCATTTATGGGTTGAGGCAAGCATCTCGGAGTTGGAACATTCGTTTTGATGAGGTCGTCACTGGTCTCGGTTTCATCAAAAACGACGAGGATGCTTGTTTATACAAGCAGTTAAGTGGGAGCTCAATTGTGTTTTTGATCTTGTATGTGGATGACATACTACTGATCGGAAATGATGTTTCGATGCTGAACTCGGTCAAGGAATCATTGAATGGCAAGTTTTCAATGAAGGACCTTGGTGAGGCAGTTTACATTTAAGCATCAGGATCTATAGAGATAGATCGAGGAGGCTTCTCGGCTTGAGCCAAAGCACGTACATAGATAAAGTGTTGAAGTGGTTCAACATGAGTGAGGCCAAGAAAGGGTTCTTGCCTGTCTCACATGGTATAAGGCTTAGCGAGACTCAGAGTCCTTCGACATCTGATGAGCGAAGCAGGATGAGTCGGATTCCTTATGCCTCGACAATTGGATCCATCATGTATGCCATGATATGTACACGGCCTGATGTTGCTTTTGCAATAAGCCTAACAAGTAGATACCAGGCCAACCCAGGTGAGAGTCACTGGGCAGCGGTAAAGACTATTTTGAAGTACCTGAAAAGGACTAAAGAGATGTTTCTAGTTTATAGAGGTGAGGAAGAGCTCGTTGTAAGAGGTTACGCCGATGCTAGTTTCCAAACCGACAGAGATGATTGTCGATCATAGTCCGGATTCGTGTATGTCATGAACGGAGGAGCAGTGAGCTGGATGAGTTCCAAGCAAGATACGGTGGCCGATTCTACCACAAAAGCCGAATACATTGCGGCTTGTGAAGCTGCAAAGGAAGGTGTTTGGATCCGGCATTTTCTGGATGATCTTGGTATTTTCCCAGCCTCGGTAAAACCGTTGGACCTTTATTGTGATAATTTTGGTGCCATCACCCAAGCTAAGGAGCCGAGGGGTCACCACAAGACCAGACACATAGATCAGAAATATCACCTGATACGAAAGATCGTAAAGAATGGTGATGTTGAGTTATGCAAAATTCACATGGATGCAAATGTTGCAGATATGTTGACTAAGCCACTTCCACAATCCAAGCATGAGGGGCACGTTAGAGCTATGGACATTCGATGTCTATTTGATTGACTCTAGTGCAAGTGGGAGACTGTTGGAGATATGCCCTAGAGGCAATCATGTATGATGATATTTCCTATGTGTTTATGAATAAAGATAGTCCTTGGACATTATCAATGATGTGTATCAGCAAGTACGTGACTTGTTTGTGGGACTATGCATTGTATGATGACTGTCCTAAAAGGTCCCTGGTCGAAAGGGCTGTGTGGACATGCAGCCGACTAGACTAGCATATGACACGGTCGATGGCTTGGTCTCACTAGCCATGGGGCATTGGATGCTAACCGGATAATATGTACTTGGAAGGATCTGGTCGGATTCGGCGTAGTCGGATCCGAGTCGAGATAAGGTCCGAGTCGGACAGACCCAACTATGAGACACATCGATATGTCATTTGTGAGTCTCTAGTACAACATACGTTCTATGTCCTAAGACCTGACCTGGCGCATGTACTCGGGATGGTGACAGACTTGCTTTGGGCCAACCAAATGCTACTCCGTCACTGGGTAGTTACAAAGGTAGGTTTCGGGCTTGTCCAGACCCATGCTGCGAGACATGGTCGAACAAGATGGGATTTGCCCCTCCGATCAGGAGAGATATACTCTGGGCCCCTCGTGTGATCCGACCAGGATAAGCATGGCCATGCGACAAGGATTATGAGATAATCTGGTTTGTGGTCGGCATCATTGGAACGAGAAAGAGGTCGGGCTAACACAAGGATGACAGACTCACCTTGAGCCCGACAACATATATCGTGTGGCAAGAGGAATGAAAGTATGATGTACAGGTTCGCCTAACTAGCTTCATAGTATGCTTGGTGTTCAGCATGCCTTGCTAGGGGCCGCTACCAACCGTGCAGTTCAGAGGTGATCCGAACTGCAACTAAGCCGGGTTGAACCTAAGGGGTCGCGCGCTTAAGGGAAGGAACCTACGAGGTCGGATCCAGGGACACTGGTCGGATGTGACCTAAGCTGTATTCGGATTCTGGCTTAGTAGACTTATGTGATTTAGGGTTCATGCGAGGCCCAAGTGTTGAGCCTGTGATGGACGCCTATATAAAGTGGGGGTGCGGCACACTCATGCGGCTGATTGCTTCGGCGCTGTCACTAGGGTTTGCATGTGTTGCGAACAGACACCTCCACTCGCCGCCGACTGTGTGATCGGACCTGGCAATCCGCCGCACGATGTTCCTCCTGCACGCGCGGATACCGTTAGAGGCGGTGCATTTGCGCCGCTCCAGTGAACTTGTACATGGGAACTGATGACCGGCTGTTCGAGGGAGATCGGGCGAGGAGGAGACGAGTCACGCGGACGCGCTGCCCCAACTCTTCTTCCGCTGCACAGCACTGCGCGTCTAGTGGTAACGAACTGTGATCCATCTCTCATATCATGTTCTTGGTTGTTCTGCGCGTAGGAAAATTTTAATTTGCAGTCGACGCACCCTACCGTAGATCCCAACATCAGATGCCTATACCTGGATAGGAGTGCAGACAATATAAAGAAGTACAAGATGGCGAAGAAGGCCGCAAAGTGAGCTGTTGGTGAAGCAAGGGGTCGGGCATATGAGAACCTCTACCAATGGTTAGGCACGAAGGAAGGTGAAAGGGACATCTATAAGATGGCCAAGATCCTAGAGAGGAAGACGAGGGATATTGGCCAAGTCAATTGCATCAAGGATGGAGCAGGCCAACTCTTGGTGAAGGACGAGGAGATTAAGCATAGATGGCGGGAGTACTTCGACAAGCTGTTCAATGGGGAGAATGAGAGTTCTACCATTGAACTGGATGACTCCTTTGATGAGACCAGCATGCGTTTTGTGCGGCGAATCCAGGAGTCTGAGGTGAAGGAGGCTTTAAAAAGGATGAAAAGAGGCAAGGCGATGGGCCCTGATTGTATCCCCATTGAGGTGTGGAAAGGTCTCGGGGACATAGCGATAGTATGGCTAACCAAGCTTTTCAACCTCATTTTTTGGGCAAACAAGATGCCAAAAGAATGGAGATAGAGTATATTAGTATCAATCTTCAAGAACAAGGGGGGTGTTCAGAGTTGTACTAATTACCATGGAATTAAGTCGATGAGCCATACAATGAAGCTATGGGAGAGAGTCATTGAGCACCGCTTAAGAAGAATTACAAGCGTGACCAAAAATCAGTTTGGTTTCATGCCTGGGAAGTCGACCATGGAAGCCATTTTCTTGGTACGACAACTTATGGAGAGATATAGGGAGAAAAAAAAGGACTTGCATATGGTGTTCATTGACTTGGAGAAGGCCTATGATAAGATACCGCGGAATGTCATGTGGTCGGCCTTGGAGAAACACAAAGTCCCAGCAAAGTACATTACCCTCATCAAGTACATGTACGATAATGTTGTGACAAGTGTTCGAACAAGTAATGTCGACACCGATGACTTCCCGATTAAGATAGGACTGCATCAGGGGTCAGCTTTGAGCCCTTATCTTTTTTGCATTGGTGATGGATGAGGTCACAAGGGATATACAAGGAGATATCCCATGGTGTATGCTCTTTGCGTATGATGTGGTGCTAGTTGACGATAGTCAGACGGGGGTAAATAGGAAGTTAGAGTTATGGAGACAAACTGTAACGCCCTCGATGCAGCTATAGCTCCCACGTGTCGTGGCACGACTTAGAGACATAACTGCATTGAAAGCAATGTCGCAAGTCAGGCAATCATTACAACATCCCATGTAATACATAATAAAAGGGGGAGATAACATAGTTGGCTTACACTCGCCACGTCACATCAGAGTACATAAATAACATCCATCAAACAAACACTCATGGCCCGACTACGGCGCCAAAATAGAAAAGAACCCAACATGCGACAAGGCCCTGAATCGATCCCCAACTAGGCACCACTACTGATCATCAGGAAAGGAAACATAATAACGCTGAGAGTCCTCGTCGAACTCCCACTTGAGCTCGTACTCGTCACCTGGAGCGGAATCACCTGGACCTGCATCTGGAGTTATAGTATCTGTGAGCCACAGGGACTCAGCAATCTCGCACCCTCGCGATCAAAACTATTTAAGCTCATAGGAATGGATAAGGCAAATATATGTGGTTCTGCAGCAAGCGACTAGCATATGTGGTGGCTAACTTATACGCAAAAGAGAGCGAGAAGAGAAGGCCAAGCACGAGCGAGAAGCTAAAGGAACATCCTGCGCAAGCATAACTCCAACACCGTGTCCACTTCCCAGACTCCGCCGAGAAGGGGCCATCACGGTAACACACACGGTTGATACATTTTAATTAAGTTTAGTTCAAGTAATCTACAACCGGACATTAACAAATTCCCATCCGCCCATAACCGCGGGCACGGCTTTCGAAAGTTCAATCCCTGCAGGGGAGTCCCAACTTAGCCCATGACAAGCTCTCACGGTCAACGAAGGAATAGACCTCCACCTGGGACACACCGATCAGACTCGGTAACCCGGTACAACAAGACAATTCGACAGGTTAAAACAAGTCCAGCAACACCGCCCGAATGTGCCGACAAATCCCGATAGGAGCTGCACATATCTCTTTCTCAGGGCACACTCAGATGAGACTAGCTACGAGTAAAACCAACCCTCAAGTTTCCCCGAGGTGGCCCCGCAGGCAGCTCAGTTCAGACCAACACTCAGAGGGAGCACTGGCCCAAGGGGGGGCTAAAATACGATGACCCTCGGGCTCCGGAAACCCAAGGGAAAAAGAGGCTAGGTGGCAAATGGTAAAACCAATGTTGGGCATTGCTGGAAAAGCTTTAATCGAGGCGAACTATCAAGGGGTTCCCATTATAGCCCAACCGTGTAAGGGACGCAACAATCCGGGAACATAACACCGATATGACGGAAACTAGGGCGGCAAGAGTGGAACAAAACACTAGGCGAGAGGCCGAGCCTTCCACCCTTTACCAAGTATATAGATGCATTAAGATAACATAGCAATATAATGATATCCCAACAAGTAAAATAAATGTTCCAACAAGGAACGGCTCCAATCTTCACCTGCAACTAACAACGCTATAAGAAGGGCTGAGCAAAGCGGTAACATAGCCAATCAACGGTTTGCTAGGACAATGGTGGGTTAGAGGTGCAATCATGCAATTGGGAGGCTGACAAGCAAATGGTAGGCATCGTAGCAGTGGCAAGCAAAAGAGCGAGCAAACTAGCATAGCAAAGATAGTAGTGATTTCGAGGGTATGATCATCTTGCCTGCACAGTTGTCAGAGTTGACTGGATCCTCACAAGCAAACTCAACGGGCTCCTCGGTAGCGAACTCGTCTCCCGGCTCTACCCAACAAGACAAACAAGCAACAAGGATACAATCAACCACGGGCAAGTCCAAGCAATATGATGAAATGACGATATGCTATGCGGGATGCGATGCGGGATGCAAAATGCAAGATATGACAGGAAAAGCATGAACCTAGCATCAAATTGGAAAACCAAGTGTGCCACTGGATAGAGGGGATGAAATCGATTGAAAACGATATAAAGATCATTGGAATCGGAGCTACGGTTTGGAAATGGCAAGTGTTTTAAGATACGACACCGGTCTGCGATTTGCAGCAAGTAGGCATCTAAATGCAACGAAATGAACATGCTACAGCCACCAAACATGAAAACAAAATACATGGCAGTGATGTACACAAGATGGTTGACAAAACACTAGCACTGAGCCATAGGCAAATTCATCCATTAAGAGGTTCAAACAAGCATGGCTAAAACGCAAATGCAAAACAGATTCCAGACTTAGTGAAATTAACACTAGTCTGAAATTTCAGATCACGATGCTCTCTTCGGAGCAGCAAAACAACATGATAGAAAACCTGAGCATGACAAGTAAGAACATGGAATGAAGCTACTCAACAAGCTTAACAAAACACCCAAAGTGACCTGGGGCCAAAAGGGTTCACAAAATACTCTACCGAGCTCACGAACATAGCTCGAACACAATCAGTTTTCAGACTTAGTGAAAACTGAGACACGCTGAAATATAACTCACGAAGGCATGTAAACGAGCTCGATGCACTCACTACGGTGCAAGTCATGGCAAGGAAAGCATATAACCAGCAAGAAGGCACAAAGTGCTAGCTACACATGGCAAGAACGAAGGCATAGCATGCATGGAACACTAACGGTAGCATCGGCAAAATCGCAAACAAGTTGACGATCTGCCCAGATTAACAACGAAGCAAAAGTTGAGCTCGATTGAGTCAACCTAGAGCACTCCAAATATGCAAACAAAGACATGGATGGATAGAGCATAACATAAATATCAAAACTCCCTTACTGATCATCCTCAAAAGAGGCACGGATCACTAGGAAACAAGCTGGACATATAACATCATGAACTAAAATATCCCAGACTTAGTGAAAATCACTAAGTCCCTGAAATCTGCAATCTCAGGTACCTCTCTTTGCAAGCTTGCACAAGACAACACACACATCCTAAAAATGCATGGGTGGCACCTCTGGAAAGAGGACAAAATGCTTAACAATTCATCCCAAAGGGGCACAGGCATATCATGCACGAATTAAACATGGCAAAAATGACAAAAGTGCATGATGAACTAACGGATCTGCAATTTAACTCACGAAGCCTCCTTCTAATAGCATTTTGGGCATCAAGATTTCCTCAAATGCAAATGATGCAATGGAACGAAATGATGTACATGTTGAGGCGAAGATTTTGATATATCATATGCCCAAAACGGAGCTACTGTTGTGGAGATACAAGCAGTCAAAGATAGCAAAAAAAATAAGGGGGAAGAGGGAAAGTCAACCTAGATCTAGGGTTTACTGTAGCCGGATCGGGCACTGTAGCTGGGCGCGCGCGACGAGGTTCGTCGGCGCCGGATCCGAGGCCGCCGGCGTAGGGGGAGGCGGTGGCCGGCGTCGAGGGGCGGCGAGGTGGCCGGCGGGGCCGGCCGCGGGCGAGGGAGCGGCCACGGAGGCGCGGG